GGTGAGTCCCCCCCCCCCCTTGTAGAAAGGTGTAGCAAGAGGGGGGCTTTAAACAAGCAATTCACAAGAGAAAGGATTCATGTGACAGTAATACAATTTTCAAAATACTCAACACCCTCATTAGTGATCAAAGAAGCGAAAATTACAAAGGGGGGGGGGTTGTGTTTGTTTTCCGATTCTGTCTCCCTGTGTTGGGCTGTAACTTGGTAAAAGCTTCTGGAGAACAAGTTAACATAAGAAACAAAAGTAATTTTACTCACTTAGAAGTCTGCATCCTGTGGAAATAGTTAAGGACTTGAACAGACCTAGCTGGAAGGGTGTTTGTTACTGAGTTCAGACAAAGCTGAAACAACCTAGCATTCCTCGGCGGCCCATTGGATATAAAATTCAGGCGATTAGGATTTAATCTAAAATACTGTAACATGATTTACTAACATGTTCATATTTTCACTCGCATGTAAACAATGGTTGGCTTTATTTATTCATCTACAGCGGAAAGCACTGCTTGTCCAATAAAAGGGGAAAATGTTTAAATGGGCACTCGCCAACAGAAGTATCCTGCCAGTCCTGTGGTTAACTGACATCGTCAATAGCTACATTTTAAACAAGTAAAATGAAATATGTGAAATTGACATCTTATTTAACCCATTATATTCCAAATGTTACCCTTTTACCCTGTACTCAATATAAAAATATTAATGAGCTGTTTTACATTCTCTTTTTTGTTACCATTCTTTGAAGGCCGGTGCTTTCCCTTTAGTACCTGTCAATTTGGACTCGCCAAATTGATCTTCAGCCACATAAGGCCAGTGGCTGCTGTATTGGACAGTTGTAAGTGTAAATTATTTAATAACCTCTAGAGAGGCAGCAGAACGTGGAAGTTGCTGGGAAGTTCTGGCCTGGACTATTTCTTTCTTCCCTGAGCAGTTCACCCTGTGAGCCCTGCCCAACAAGAGCCTCGTGTCCTGATTACCTGGGAAGGTTTACCCCCCTCCCCGGTAACACTCCTGTCTCCTGCCTCCCTGCAAGGGTGCCGGGAAATGTGTCAGCAGCAGTGGGCAGTATGTCGTGAAGCCAGGGCCTTGTTCACTTTCCTTTTCTTCCAGGAAGAGGGACCAAAGCCAAGGATGTTTCTCTGCAGAAAATGGGATGTGCCCCAGAGTGCGACTGGGCAGTGGTACCCTTGGGCCAATGGACCTTATCTGGACTGGCTGGCGGGCAGGCAGGGGGGGTGGAGCACGCATAGGGTGCCCTGGTGGGAGATTTTAGGGAGAGAGTATGGGTCAGGCTTCTGGTCTTCTTCTGGGCAGCTGGAGGTATCAAGTAACACAGCCCGGCCCCGTTGGAGCAGGACAGGCACAAAAGACACAGAATCGCGGCCTTGCATTGGGCCCAGGCCTAAATATGCGGGCAAGTCCAGGTGCTGCTTCACGGTGGTCCTCCCCTCTCACCTTCCAGGGAATCAGAACAGGAAGTGGAGGTGAGACCCAGGTCAGATCCATGCTGGAGCACTCCCTCCCTCCATGTGCACATTCTCGGGGTGGCCATTGACTCGGCTGGAGCGGAGTGACCTCAGGCAGCAGATCAGATGTTCCAAGGCCTGGCAGAAATGAGCTCAAATCACCGTTTAGTACTGTGAGAGTGAGCAAGGGGAATCACCCCTTCTGAGCCTCCGTTTTCCTTCCTGTAAAATGGGGGCGTGCATTTATGATGTCGCAGCACAGTGCCTGGCATGTATCAGGCGCCCGGTGACAGGGAACTGCTCACGGCGTAGCTGTTGCATGTGGTTGGGTGGCCGGCCGGTGGCTAGGGGAAGAGGAGGGTGCTGGCTGTCCTGGTGTGACCCCCACCGTTCCTCATTTCCTCTGCTCCCTGCAGACAGAAGACCTGAGCTGAGGCTGTAGAAACTGCAGAAGCAGAAACTTCACCTGCCCAGAGTCTCAGACAGGATCCCCCTTTGGGGTTGCCTGTGGGAGGCTGGTCTCCAGCATAGAGCTTGGTTGTCCTTGGAAATTGGCCAGTCTCAGGGTGGGGGTGCGGTGGATTGTTATCTCTTATCTCCTGCTCAGTTGAGACTGCTCAAGCATCAGGAAGCAGCTGTTGGGGAGTGAGTTCTTTTAGGGGCGTCCTAAGCTCCCCATTTTCTCTGACTCCAGGTTGTTGGAGATTGCCCACTTCTCCTCCCAGAGCATTTAGAGTAAAATGAGAATGTAATAAATGTGTCCGGCCTGGGTGGGGTGGGGTGGGGTGGGGTAGATTCTGGGGAGAGAGGGAGATAGAGAACAGACATCAGTGGGAGATTTATCCAAGCGGGAGCTTGCACCTCGACCCTTGCGTACCCAGCCCCCACTCGCTGCCTTGTACTGAGCCCTGAGAACTGGATAGTTTTAAGCTGGTTTTGAAATTAGAAGATTTTCCTTAAGCCTTTGATGCTTTGGGATTTTAAAGTTATTATTACAGTAGTACTACCACATTAAAGAAACGCCTTTTTCAAAAGCCTGTTTTCTCCCTCTCAAGCCTGACATAACTCCTGAATTTCGCCGGTGCCCTTTCCGTCTTCATTCCCGAGGGAGTGCACATCAGTGCAGAGTTGCACTCACTGTGTGAACAGTGTTAGTTCCACCTTTTCCCTTCCACTCGGTGCTGCCGGTGGGGAGAATTTTCCAGGCCGCAGCGTGGTCTGCACCGCCCCCACTTTCCATGCCCACGTGATGACCTGTTGCGTTCATGGCTCATAGAATTCTCAGCCTTTTCCTTATCGTTGGATATTAGGTCGTGTCCAGTCTTCTTGCTGTTATGAATAAGGCTTCAGTGAATATCTGTTTTGGTGACTTTAATAAAATATTTACTAGAGTAGGTTTCCTACTGTGAAGGTTGCTGAATCAGACTCATTTTAAAGCCATTATTGAAAGAAATTGCCATAGCTGCTGATGCCACATGACCACCCCATCCTGGGATCATTTTGAGTTCGAGCAGCTCTTGGTCCAGAGCAGTGTACCTTTCTCCCTGCCTCGTGACACCTAGAACCTGCCATTTAGTGGGAGGGAGGACCTTCCCCCTTCTCTGTCCTAACTCTTCTTATGGGCAAGATGGCAATAGACTCTAGAAGGTCTAACTAGCCTGGGGCCTGGCAGGCAGGCAACTCCAGTGTTATCTGGGAAAGACCTTTAGATCGGGAGGCAGACCTGGGCTAAAGTGCCATCTGGGTCACTTATTGGCCCCATGACCTTTGGCAAGTACTTCTCCTGCCCTGGCAGCTGGATAATCTCCAGGATGTCCTCCATCTCGAAGCCTTGGGAATCTACAGTTGTAGGCGTCATGGACGCCTCAGTGGGAGTCCCGTGACACCGGATGCTGTATTTTAGCAGCCCCAGGGGTGTGCAGGAAAATCCACTGGGATGTGGGAAGGAAACATCAGAACTTACTTGTATGCTGTTTTAAAAAAAAAATTTTTTTTAAGGGAAACTTAAACTTATTAACCGATGCATAAAATGGTACTAGACATGTATATAAGCTAGAAAAATAAACGTCTGTTAATGTGTGTGTGTGTGTTTGTGTGTGTGTGTGCACACACACAAATTATGTGTTCCGTGTTTTTTATGTGCTATGGCTGTTTGAATGGCTAGAGTCCTGATGTGGGAATGCAGCCTTGGCTTCAGTCCATGACCTCGGGCAAGTCCCTTCATTTAGTCTCTCCATCTGAGAGTACAGTCACTCCACATCCGGGTATTTTAAGGAGATATTGACACAGATACACAGTGGGCCAGGAGTTAGAATGGTGATTTTTCATGTTCCCATCCTGGGTGGTGGTTGTTTTTTTTTTAAATTGTGGTTGTTCGGGCACACATGATTCTAAGAGAGTGCTTTTGTAACCTCCTGGTGCAAATGGGACACTTTCAAATACTAGGGCTTTCAGCAGAACACGTGCAGGAGCTAAAAGATTCTGAGGGTCCGAAAGTCGGAGTCGGCTGGAATCACAGCACAGCCCCACCGAGGTCCCTCGGGCGAGGTGCACAGTGGGGGTCAGGGCATTGCCGTTGTTCCGGTCACCTCTGCCCATCGGCCCTGTCTGCTGCTGGAATAAAACAGTCTTGCGCCTTCCCTGGGACTCCTTATCTTCTCAGGATGAGGCTGGAGAGCTTTCCAGAAAGCACCGCCTCTTCCTCTGGCGACGAGAGCCAGGCCCCCCCCGCCGCCCCCCGCCGAGTGTCTTGCACAATCCCCGTTAGTGAGCCATTCCAGTTGCCAGGCCTTGTAGCCGCACTGGATGCCTCCCTCCTTCTGGCAAAGTTAAGTTCTACCTCATGGTGGCATGTTGATCATACCCCTGAGAGAAAGGCCCCCCAGATGAGACCTACCCTGGGAAAGGATGCCTGGGGCTCGAAGTGGCTTGGGGTCCCCTTCGATTCTGTCTTTTCTCTCCCTCTCCACCTGCCCTCAACAGCTCCTGGTGTCTCTACCTTCAAAACGTGCCCTGAGTGAGGCCTCCTCCGTCCAGCTCCGTAGTGGCCCCCGTGTACGGGCCCCCTCCTCCGTGCCGCCAATGCCAGGCGCCATGGGAACTTACAAAGGCTGGATGACTTGCCTGCTTAGAAGCTGCTGCTGGTTGCCTTGTGTACCTGGAACGCCACCCAAACCCTCCCTGGTCTCACAGAGACGGCCCGGGCAACCTGGGCCCTCGGTGTTCATTCTGTTCCTCAGACACCACAAGCTTGCTCCTACTCCTGAGCCTTGGCTTATGCTGCTCCTTACGCCAGAATGTTCTTGGCAGGCCTGCTCCCCTTCCGTCATTCAGTTCTCTGCTCACAGTGCCCCTTCATCAGAGGGGACCTCCCGCCCCAGAACTCTCACCTGGTTTCCCTCTCGGTTGTGAGGACTGCAAGGTACCCTTTTATTTACCTGTTCATAGCCTGGCTCCCCACCCACCCCCACTCACCCCGCAAGTGTGCTGGGAAGGCAGGGGCGTGGCCAGCTTGTTTTCACTGCTCTGTGTCCTGGGCCTGGGAGAGTATGGGAAGATTGGTGAGCATGCCGTTGCCTGAGAGGGGGACAGGGAAAGACATGAAGCCTCTTGCAGTCATTCCAAGCCACGGATGAAGTCGTGGCCCGTGCCTGCTCTGTCCAGCCATGTTGTTTGGCACTGGGATTGGGTAGATGGTCAGAACATCGGGAAACCACGGAGGGGGCTGCACGGAGGCACTGGGTGTGGAAGCATGCGGACTCTGTACCAGGGGAGCTGCCGGGCAGCCGGGAAGCAGCAGGCCGGCTAGGCTGCCCCAGGAGAACTCAGGGCTGTGTCCTGCCAGGGCCGGGCTGCCAGGGGCAGGCCGCTGCCTGGGACTTTGGACTGTCTGTCCAGTGGCTGATCAGGGAGACCAGGGTGAGTGTCTGTGATCCTGGGATCGGGTTGGAGCGGAGCTGAGCTGAGGGTATAGACCGACCCGGGGCTGGACTTCCATTGCTTCTCCCTTGAAGGAATGTTCTGTGGTCAGCGGATAAGAGGGCTGAGGACTCTGGTTCCACCAGAGGCTGGAACTGTCAGGGAGAGCTGTGAGTGCTGCTGTGGTTTGGGCCCTGCCAGGACGCTGGGATGTGGCTTCAGGGGTGGGGGCGGGGAGGTGTCCCTCCCAGGACAGGCTCTGGGGAGTGGCTGCCCCATGTTCTGAAGCCTATTTTAGCCACTTCCCCAGAGCTGAGTCACGGCACTTAGCAACACCCCCACCCAAAGCCACAGCTCCCTTGGCAGGTCCCCTTCTGAGTGAGTACCCAGGCCTCCTAACTGGCCCAGGCCACCTGCTTATATTTGAACCCCATGCTCCATCTCCTCACCTCCAAGTCATTCTGTTGGACACTTAGGGTGAACATGTCACTCTGGGACCCACAGCAACCCCGTGAGTGAGTTCCCTCTAGGCCCCAGCTCTTGGAACCGTTTTGTGCTGGATACTGAAGATGATTTGGCTTCTCACAAGCCGCAGAACCTTTTTCTCACCCCCCAGGGAGGAAGACCACAGGCAGCAGAGGGCACTGGCCAGACGTGCCTCCGTCTTCTTGGGGTGGGGGCCGTGCAGGGTCCTGGCAATCCCGGGGCCGGTCTGGGGATTTCCATGCTGGCCCCATCCCTGAGGATGCGCCCCGGGCGGGGGCAGTGGGAGGGTGAGGATTCTCCTGTCCTTTGGCCTTGTGGCCAGGATATCCAGTCCCTGTGGGTGGCCGCAGGGGTCTCCATCATCCCTGCCGAGCCCCGGGCAGCTAGGCCTGCGGTTTCCCTTTATTTCTCCAATACTTAAGGTCTGAAACCACAGAGTTGCTTACTGGGTCTGGGGATTCCTGGCGATACAGTGAAACCCTTACACAACTCTGGATGTTTATATCACTGTTCCCACGCCCCTTTTATGCTCTCCCCCGTCTCTCTCCCTCCCTTTCTCTTTGTGTTTGTTTACCCTTATTTACATGCTTCATTTGCACCTGTGTGTTCTTACTTCTGGGCAGTGGGTCTTAACCCAGGGGTGCTGGTACGCCCCAGAGGACACTTGGTATTTCTGGGGACATTTTGGTTGTCACGGCTGGGAAAGAGACGCTATTGGCATTGAGCGGGTAGAGGCCAGGGGTGTTGTTTAACATCCTACTGTGTGTAGGACAGCCTCTGCCACAAAGAAGTGACCTGGCTCGAAGGATCGGAATCTGTTCGAGGGTGATACTATAGAACTTTCTCGAGGCAGCGGCCAGGCTCCTCTTTCTCTGGACCCTCCTTACCCCAGCCAGAAGTGGGGAGGGCTGCTCAATCGGTCATGCCAACTGGCCAGTGCTGCTTCCTCCCAAAGGCCCAGAGTCGGGTAGAGAGAGCCGTGGACCTGAAGCATTGGTGAGGGCATGACCTCAAGGCTGGTGCTCTTCTTGTCTCTGATTTAGGGGTCAGCAAACTGGCCCACAGGCCGAATCCGGCCCACCACTTGTTTCTATAAATAAAGTTTTATTGGGACACAGCCACATCATTTGTTAACATAGAGTCACCTGCTGCTGTCCTGCTGCAAAGATAGTTGTGACAAAGACGTTTTTAGCCACAAAGTGGAAAATCTTTACTGTCTGGCCCTTCATCGTCCCTGCTTTAGCTGTTCCTGTCTGATTGTTCAGAGCAGGGGTGTCCAACCGGCGGCCCAGGATGCCTGTGAAAGCGGCCCAACACAAAATCGTAAATTTACTTGAGACCTTTTCATCCTCATCAGTTTTCATTAGTGTTCGTGTATTTAGTGCGTGGCCCGAGACAACTCTTCTTGTTTTTCCAGTGTGGCCCAGAGACGCCAAAAGGTTGGCTGCCCCTGATTTAGAGGTCAGATGCCAGGCCGTGGGCAGGAGGGTTCAGGTGAGGCAAGGAGAAGCTACTTTTCCTAGGGTGGTGAGAGCAAGAAGTGGGCACGCTGCCTGATGTAGCGGTCAGCTCAAGGCCTTCCAGGACAGTCCTCACCAGGCCCTGAGCCCAGCCCACGTCACCTGTGTGGCAGGGCAGCCCTGGTGCCTGGCTCCTGCCGCCCGCCCTGGGGAACTTTGTTTGCTGGGGTGAGGAGCAGTGTGGCCGCCTGCGGGGAGGAGGGGCACTTCCTGGTGGGGGAGCCGTGGGACCGGGCCTCAGCAGCTGGTCAAGGAGGAGAGCGTGGGAGTGGAGTTAGAGGACACGGAGAGGTCAGGCTGAGAGCCCTGGAGCCAGGCTGTAGGCTGAAAGGAAGCCAGCACTGTCATTGGCCTTGAGAGGGCAAAAGGGGGGCACGGAGGGGTTGGGGATGGGAGGCCGGAGGCACGGGCCTTTCCGCAGGTGTTTGAGACCAGCTGTGCCCTGCACTGCTAGGTCGGATCCAGCAGGGAGCAGGCCCATCAGAATGCTCTGGAAGTTCCTAGTCCAGTGGGGAAATGACAGCCCAGCTGGAAGGGGTAGAACTGTGCCTGCTGGGGGAGGGGACATCCAGAGTGCTGGGGACAGGAGGGTGGGGTGGGCAGGGTGGAGGGCCGGGCAGCCGGCAGGACTTTACCTGGCTAAGGACTGTCTCCCAGAAGGAATGGCGTCTCAGCTGAGCCCTGAAGGATGCAGGGTGAGCCAGGTGACAGAGTATTCCAGCGGGAGACAGCAAGTGTCCAGGGCTGGGGCTGGAGCACAGTGAGGGCGTAGGGGAGTGGCAAGCAGTGGCATTGAGTGGTCATGGGGGACCAAGGGACCTGCAGCGGGGAGGGTTTTGCTTTAACTAAAAGGTGGAGGATGGACTGGAAAGGGACTCAGTGAGCAGGGAGACCTGTGTGATGTCAGGGGCCAGGGAGGTTGTGGTGGCCTAGCTTGGGGACAGTAGCCGGGGGTGAGGGAGAAACGCGTGGGGCATCCACAGGTTGAGCTTTGCATCGGGAAGAATGGGCCTGCAATGAGGGCTCTGTTGGGAACTGTGCTGTTAGCAGGACCAAGGGCCCCGCACCAACCCTCACCTGCCATGCTTGGTTAAGTCCTTGAACCTGTCCCTGCCCACCCTTCTCTGTCCTATGCTACCAGGTGTAGCATTTAGGGCAGGTCGCTCCTGAGGGAAAGGGGCTGGTTTGGCTCCAACACTGAACTTCAACTTGGCCCTTGCCAGGAGTGCATGGTGCCTCAGGCCTTCGGATGGCCCTTTGCCATTCAGTCACCTGGGAGTCTGCAGAGCCCAGGAGACCTAGGTCATCTAGGGTTAGTCCCTGCCTCCTTGCACCCCTGGCAATTAAAGAAATCGGAAGAGAGTCTTCCAGTCTTGAATCTCCCCAAGGGGCAAAGGGTGGGTCCTTGACAAGCCTCTTGGGGCCCCACAATGGAGATATCGCTGGTGGGACCCTCATTTAAGGGACTGGAAGGCGGGGGAGCTGGTTCTGTGAATCCCAGCAGTCTCACCCCAGTTCTGATTCAGAAAGGGAGCCGGACCGCCCACATATGTTGCGGTGCCAGCCAGCATCTCCCCGGGGCCTATTCTGTCCTCTCCCTCTTCCGAGGACTATGACTCAGGTTGAAGTGTTCACTGACTTCACAGGGGTTGAGGTCAGACGGCAGGAGAACTCCCAGCATGTCTCCAGACCCAGCTGTTCAGAGGAGCCAAGTCATAGGCTCAGCCTCTTTCCTGCTCTGCTTTGGGGAATCACCTGTGCACTCCCTTAAATGCAGTCCTGCGAGCTCCGGCAGCATCCTGGTTGGGAGGAGGCATGACAGCGAGGAGAGAGTATTGTCCTTTAGAAGACAGGTCTCTTTCTCAGGTTTCAGGCAAACGTGTGTCTTTGGCTCCTTGAACACCAAACAGATTTGCAAAAAGCACTCCCCTAACCTGAGAACTTGTGGATGAAGAGGGAGGCGGGGTTATGAAATTGACTGCTGGCTCCCTTCATATTGTTTCATTTTGGTGGGAGCTGGGGTTTGCATAACAGCCTGTAGGCAGCTGGGGCTTTTGTGCTGTGAGGCCAGCCCAGTTAACCCTTTCTTGCTGTTCTCTTCTTGCAGCTCTCTGAGCTCCTCCTTCTCACCCCCTCCACCTGCCAGACTTCAGATCTGACCTCAGACCTGCCTGCTGCCTTGGGAGGCCCTGCCTCCCTTCCCCTCAGGCAAGATGCCCATCCTCAAGCAGCTGGTGTCCAGCTCCATGCACTCCAAGCGCCGCTCCCGCGTGGACCTCACAGCAGAGATGATCAGTGCCCCACTGGGCGACTTCCGCCACACCATGCACGTGGGCCGGGCAGGGGATGCCTTTGGGGACACCTCATTCCTCAATAACAAGGCTGGCGAGCTAGACGGTGAGTCCCTCGATGAGCATGCGTCCTCCTCTTCATCCAAACGCAGCCTCCTGTCCCGGAAGTTTCGGGGCAGCAAGCGGTCACAGTCGGTGACCAGGGGGGACCGGGAGCAGAGGGACATGCTGGGATCGCTGCGGGACTCAGCCCTGTTTGTCAAGAACGCCATGTCCCTGCCCCAGCTGAACGAGAAGGAGGCCGCCGAGAAGGGCTCCAGCAAGCTGCCCAAGAGCCTGTCGTCCAGCCCCGTGAAGAAGGGGAATGGCGGGGATGGTGACCAGGAGGCGGCCCATGTGGAGGAGGTGCCCCGGCGGAACGGGGCCACGGGCCCCTACTCCCCCGACCCCCTCCTTGAGGAGAAGGCCTTCGGGGACCTGACAGACCTGCCCGTCGTGCCCAAGGCCAGCTTCGGGATGAAGCATGCGGAGTCCATCATGTCCTTCCACATTGACCTGGGGCCGTCCATGCTGGGCGACGTCCTGAGCATCATGGACAAGGACGAGTGGGAAGCAGAGGAGGAGGGTGGCGGTTACCACAGCGACGATGACCTGGGCAGTCTCTCCAGAGCTCCCCTTTCTGTGTCGGGGGCCCCTCCCCCAGCCAGGCAGGAAGGCAAAGCTGGCCGGGACTCACCCCCGCTGCCCCAGGCTCCGCAGGACGAGGGGTGGGCGGCGGCGGCAGCCCCCAGCCCTGGCTCGGCCCGCAGCGTGGGCAGCCATACCACACGGGACAGCAGCTCCCTGTCCAGCTGCACTTCCAGCGTCCTGGAGGAGCGCAGCCCCGCCTTCCGGGGGCCAGACAGGGCCCGGGCCGCTCTCCCCAGGCAGCCTGACAAGGAGTTCTCTTTCATGGATGAGGAAGAGGAGGACGAGATCCGAGTGTGAGGCTGGAGGAGGTGGGGCTCCACGCTCTTGGCTTCATCTCCCTGCCCCCAGCCCACCACCACCTCCTCCTCCCCGTTCAGGGGCAGCCAAGAGCCTGGCTTCTGCCACAGACTCTGGACCTCATAGATGAGAGGCATTGGCCAAGCCTGGGGGCCCATGGAGGACTTGAGGAGCTGGCCTGGGTGCCAGCTGGGGTGCCTGACTTTGTCGCACACCCTGGCCTCCCGGAGCTTTGTAGGACGGGGCTATGTTCTTACAGCAGGAATCAGTTTCCTTTTCTCCACTTTGGCCTCAAATGGATGCCAGATGTCAACTCGAGTTCCTGCCTCACCCCCCGCAGCAATGCAGGTCAGCCCAGGGGTGATCTCGGTGCCAGGGCTGAGGACACTGGCTCTCCTTTTCTCTCCTGGAGTTTCTGCTGTGACCTGGCAGTGACTTCCCCAGTTAAATGTGTATCACGGGAGGAACTGGGCAGGCACACGTCTCGGCCCCTCCCTCCCCTGCCTGATTCATGCACCGGAAGCCTGGACCCCCTTGGAGAAAAGCCAGGGCGAACATGAACACTAAACGCAGCCCCTTCCAGGGGAAAAGATCAGGGAGGGGAGCGGAAGGGAGGTCCCTGGGCTTCAACTTCTCTTTAAGAAGAGCCCTTGTAGGATGACACTAGCAGTCACTCAGCCGATGGGTGGGTTGGTTCTTTCTCATCACGGTTAAATCTTTCTAGAGCAGTAGCAAGAACAGTGTTAGCAGGTCTGCCACCAGAGGGAACATCGACTCCTTTGAGACACCTTGAAACTAAATGCGCTCAAACTTTTATTTAGAATTGTATAGTGTGGGCGTCTGTGGGTGTGTCCCCCCCCCACCCTACCCATCGCTCTTAACCGCGGAAGGCGTCCAGTATAGAATATTTCTGAAAAATGACTTTTTAAAAGTAATATATCATTCCTGTGGGGGAGAAAAGCTTCTTCTTCTTTTTTTTTTTTTTTTTTTTTTGGCTTTTGGACTGAGTTATTCCCCCTCCACCCCACTACTTCCTTTCCCAGGCGCCTCTGCCAGCTCGGCCCCTCGCTGACTTTGGAGGCCAGGGCCCTGAGAGTCTAGGTACACAGGTGCCCGATTTAGCAACAAAAGAAACCAGGAGGTTGAGTTAATGAGAATTTCAGGTACACAAAGGGTAATTTTTCAGTGTAAGTATGCCCTTTTGCTCTATGTGGCACATACCCGATATTAAAAACTTATTTGTTGTTCTTCTGAAATTCAAATATCACGCTGTGTCCTATAACCCTGCCCACGGGCATTGAGGAGGAGCTTGGGTGTGAGCCCCAGGGTTAACTGATAGTTGTTTTCCTGGCCTGGGAACCGGCTGACCCACCTCCTCCTGTCCCCTAATAGCCACTGCGGGGAGGGGCTGACAACACAGAACCCCACCAGGGCATGGCTGCTCCCCCCTCCCATTTTCTGCCGGATCCTGACTCAGACGCTAAGTTAGTTCCTCATATGAGTGCGAGTACCACACGGGTGCTCGGTTTCAGTAGTGCAACCCCCACTGGCTGCCCCTCAGACCCATCCAGATGGGCAGTTCCAGATTCTGAGCTGTATATTTTTTCCATGATATTGTTAAAACAGCAAGGCAACAGTAAAAAAAAAAAAAAAAAGCCCTTCAGCATGTCTGGTGTTTGTCTCTGCTTTTGGGGAGGGTTATGTCTGGGTGTGGGTGGGTAGGGGTGACACTGCGCAGACTGGGGGGTCCTGTGGCTGTCTGTGCCCCGTGGCACTCGGTGGCCTAAGGTGGCTTCTCAGTCCCTTCGGGGCCCTTGTCTCCTGCACAGCTTTCCACCCTCTGAGCAGACTTCAGAGGCTCTAGGACTTTGGTGTCCCAACTGCCACTTATCCATCTGGGCCCTTGGGCACTTGTCACATAGCTTGCTTTGTGTGCTTCACCCTCATCACCGGTTACAGGGGGACCTTGCTGCTCCTATGGGGCAGGGCTGCAGACACAGTCCCTGACAGGGTGTCTGCAGAGTTGTTATTAAGCCGGGGGAGGCTGTGTTCTCACAAGCCGCAGGTGCCAACAGGCGTGGGATCTGTCTCCGCCAGGACACAGCACATGCCTTTTTTACCACTTGACCTGGAAAATCAGCATGCAGGTGGCATGTTCATGTTCAGCCTCGCAGCCCAGTGAGGGAGACTCTGGTGTCCCCATTTTATGTGCTGAGAGGCCATGTGGCCACTCTGTCCAAGTCAACAAAGAATAAGTGAACATTACTGATTCAAAACGCTTTCGCCTCATCGCTCACAGGCGCCTCGGAGCTTCATTACTTGGAGCCTCAAAAGTGAGGTCAGGGGTGTGTCTGCCCTGGGTGGGGACCTGGTGATTCCTCCACCCATCTCCTGCGTTACCACCTTACCTTCCCAGCCACCCACCGTCCCCTGTGGCTCTGCTAGCTGAAGCCCCTCACAAGCCCTGCTCGCCGTGTGGGACCCAGTGTGGCTGAGGTCTGGAAACCCTGTCCCTTTCCCCAGCATCTACAGAGAAATGTGGGCTGTACTCATCTTTTCCCTGGGAAGCAATTAGAAGCATAATTAAAATATCCCTCTGTCCTAGACTGGCTCATTAGAGCTAATGAGGGATGTGGCTGGAGCCAAAGGTGTGGTGACCCAGAGAGAAGAGGGGGTGGGACTGGGGCTCACACCTCCAGCCCAGCAAGAGTGGCAGGTCCCTGGGGGCTGCAGCCTGGCTCTAGAGGCCATTGCCAAGCCAAATGCTGTGTCAGCAAGGCCCAGGCAGGTGTGGGAAAGCACCTGAGTGGGGGCTGTGCTTTCCCAGGCGATGTAAACCCCCCACCCTTCCAACAACCATTTGCGCAGGATTCTGGAGGGTCTGGGAGAAGGCAGCCACCCCAAGCCCCAGACCTGCCTTTTGACCTGATGGAGAACGGCCAGCCATTCAGAGAGACCCATCCTACAGAGAGGTCCAGCTAGACCCCCACCTTTAGGAGCACGAATTCTGGCTAGGGGCTCCACAGGCCCACAAGACAAGGATGGGATAACCAGGCAAGACGAGCCTGGCCGCACCAGCTCTCATCTTGATTTGCTGTGTGGCCTTGGGCCACTTATTTTCCCTCTCTGGGCAGCTTCCTTTTCTCCTTTAAAATCTGGCACTAACTCAGTTTTCAACTTTTTATCAGAAGTGTTATTCGTAACAAGGTTGTCGGTTGAACCCCTGGTACATAACTGGCTGAGCCAGAGCTTCCCTGGATGGAGACGGGGGTGGGGAGTCCTTTCTCTCCTTTGATCTCCTGAGGTTCACTTGAGAAACCTGGGGTCTCATGCGGCACCTCACCTGAAAGATGTTCTGTAGACCCCCTACCTCTTACAACTCAAAACAGGAACCAGGAACTACTGGGTAATGATGTAGTCATTTTAATTCAGATTGCAGCTAATGTTTCTAAAAATGTGAGCTGACCCCCAAGCCTCCTGCCCAGGACGGAGCTGCAGACATGACCCCAAGATGCGTTGGTATCAGCCCCGCCCTGGTCCAGCCATCGTGGGGCATCTCCCTCCCCAGTGCAGAGGGGCTCTGCTGTTCTGTACTCTTGTGACCAGGGCTGTGTTACCTGTGAGGACTGCCATACACCAGGCCCTGTTTTTTGTATTGGCCTCAATTCTCATGGCCACTCTGTGAGATCCATACTACTCCTGTCATTCCCATTTTACAGATGAGGACGCTGAGGCAGCTCAAGGTAAAGGAACTGACCCTGGACCACTGGGCTAGTTTGGGACCCAGAATGACCAGGTAGGGCCAGTGATCTGGCTGGGCAGAGCAGTGCAGAGATGCCGACAGACCCACTGGCCAGGGTGTGCCAGGGAAAAGGGGTGCCTCTTGCTGCAAGTGAGGTGCTGGGAGCTCCAGGCCTCTCTCAGCAGCTGCTGCTGATTCACGTTGCTCAAAGGACCCAACAGGTAGTACAAAGGCCAAGGGCACTGGGTAGAGCAGGCCCTGCCCTTCCCAGGGTCACTCTGGCTCTGGCTTTGTGTCTGCTGGGCAGAACCCGGGCTCCGGCTGGGCCCCGGCCTCTCAAGGGCCTCCACAGCCTCGGGCCTGTGTTCCGCTGGTGCCCAGGCTGGTCCACGGAGGTGCTCACCTTCAACTCCATGCAAGCGACGACACACTAAGCCACCTGCTCCCTTTCACCAGGGCTCCCCATGTTCCCAGAAGAAAGTGATGAGGAGTAGAAGGCGTCCAAGCACATGAAGACGGGGGATTCTTAGGATCTTCAAATGTTAGGGTCTGGTTCACCACCTCCCCCTACCCCCATTCTATAGAGCCTGGGAGAAGAAGGCACCAGCCAAAGTCCCACAAGTGGGACAGAGCAGAGACTGCAAAAGGGATGGGGCTGGCTTCGAGCCAGTGGACAGTATGGGACGCAGCTGCTCAGTGAGCCGGGTGTGTGGTAGTTGTCGGGGTGGCCATTGGGGCAGGGGCGGGATGGTATGCTGCACACCCCGCCCCTCCCTGGCTCAGGCTCACCTTGGCCTTCACACACAGCGTCCCGAAGTGCCTGACTTCCTCCACACTCAGGCTGGGCCGCCCTGCCCGGGGCCCCTCCCTTGCCGTGATCACCGGCACACAAAGACTCTCTGGCCCCCAGACCCTGAGTGAAAATGCAGGAAAGGAAAGTTAGGAATAAAAGCGGGAGAGTTGTCTGTCTGCTTCCCCTCTGCAGCCTCCCCCAGCCCTGTGGCCTCCTGCCAGCAGCCAGATGGGAGACTGGAAAGAACATTTTGGGGAGAGGGAAGGTATTTGCAGGCAGATGGATGCTGGGGGCTTTGCCTCTAAAACCTGTTGCTCTAACTTGCCAAGCTGTTGTTGTCCAAGACGAGACTCCCAGGAGGGGACAGGAGGAGCCAAGGAGAGCTGCCTTCGCGGTAGGACTCCAACCCTGAAATGACTTGGCATGTTAAAAAGTGCCCCTCAAGGCCACAAGGCTCTGCTGAATTTTGTTTTGTTTTTATGCCCTGCTTTGTTCCAAAAAGGATAGGAGGCAGCTTACAAAAATACGCAAGTTACAATAGGATAAAAATAGATCAGAGGGAAAACAAGGCCGGAACAAACACAAGAACTAAGAGAGTGGCACACAAGACTGTTACCAGCGTTCAGACCCAGCCGACAGACCCGCTGGCTGGGGTGCACCCCGGGGAAAATGTTTCCAGCTTGTGTTATGTGTATGAGCATGAACCTCTACTATTCTTGACAGTGGGCTGAAAACTACGCTCTGAGCTTGAGCCTCCTATCAGTCAAAGCAAAAAGGGAAACCCACCTGTTACAAGACTCACAATGTCCACGAGGTTGCAACGGTCCCAGAGGTGGCTCAGCTTTCTCTGACACTGTGGTCCGAGAGGGATTCTTGTGAGCTCTTTGGAGGGGGCAGGGCTGGGATTCCAGGCAATGTCCTCAACAACAGTCTCGTAACAGATACAATCATACAAACACCATAAAGCTGCTTTTCCGCTTAGTATGAATTGAAGGCTTGAGGCCAAGACGCAGATCAATAAAACCAACTCTCTGGAGGGCCAGAGCCAAGCCATCTAAGTCATTCACCGAAGACACACAATTTAGATTCTTCCAGGACAGGATTTTTCAATCTCAACATTATTGCTACTTGGCGCCTGACCGTTCTGCGCTGTCAGGAACTGCGCTGTGCACTGCAGGACACTGAGCGTCATCCGTGGCCTCTGCCCACTGGGTGCCAGGAGCTTCCTCACAACTAGTCATGTCAGTCCAACATGGCCCCAAACATTGCCAAGTGTCCCTTTGGCTGCTGAAAAACCACTGCTCTTACAGGAAAAGGAAGATGCCTCTTTTTTTTTTTTTTTTTTTTTTTTTTTTTTTTAACGTAAGGGCCACTTTAAGACGAGAAATGTTTCCAGCTTATGTGTTTTTGGTTCAAACCAGAAGAAAAAAACAAAAAGTTTATGAAGTCCCATAGGGGAAAAAAATGCATATACTTGCCTCTTAAATTACCTACTTTACTGAGAAAACTGGCACTTCTTTTAGCCACTAACATTGTTACGATGAGGGTATTATTTGAGAAACAGCCACACAGAGGCACTTTCTAATTCCACGCTCTGGAGTCAGACAGGGAATGTGTTGAGAAGGTGGCCTGGCCTGTGGCCTTCTCTCTGAGGACCGAGGGCAGCGAGCGGCCTGTGTCGTCTCCCGGCTGTCTTGGGAGATGGTGCTATGTCATTTCTTACAACGAATGTCCCTCTCCGGCCCCGGCCAACCCAGGGCTGACTGCAGAGACTTTGAAGCTGTATCTTCTGAAAACAGAAATCTACAGCACCGATTCATTTATTCATCAGATATTTATTGAGCACCTAATGTGTGCCGAGCACTCTGAGGGGGACACGGGTGGGGTATGAGAGCATACAAGATAGTAAACAAGAAAGACGTAGCCCCAGGGTGGCACTGTGACTTTGGCAGACCCCTTCCTCCATAAAAGCTGTTAAAATAGTATTTTATGACCATGTTAGTAAACAAGATGAATGCATTAATGTTATACATTAAAACTTGAGCTTTGACCTAAAGGCTCATGTATTTGCTTCAGCTTTTCACAGGCCCGCTGAGCCTGATGGAGAATCT